GTAGAGACGCACTTGCTCGGAAAGCTTCCTGTTTCTGGTTTGGCGCACTCAGCTGAGTGAACACAACCTCGCGCGCCAAGGCCTACATCCTGGCGCGCCAGCGAGATCTACATCATTTTAACGTCACAGTGTCGTGCGACAGGCCGGGAACGGCGAGTATACTGTGGCCTTAACAAGTCAGCAACAGCACAAGCAACAGGTTCAGCCTGAGGATGTGTGTTGAGGCTGCTGTGCTGCTGGAGCGGGCTGCAGCACACAGTTTGTTGTGCTTGGTACAGTTCACTGTTTGACAACCATAAGACTGAAGGACAACTGACCTTTTCTCAATGCTTACTGAATATATGAAGCATTTTAATTACAGTTTTGCTGTTATTCAGCTTTAATGTGGATCATGTCATTGTGATTTCAACTGACCTTTGTGCCTTGTTTCTGTCTCTCAGGGGTCTGTGGAGCCCATGCAGATTGATGCAGACCCCCAGGAGGACCAGCAGAATGCTCCAGACACCAACTACATAGTGGAGAACCCAACACTGGTATTGCCCTGACAGACTTTCATCACAGTGACATACAATGTTACAATAATTATCTCTGTGATGGCAGTGGTGTACATTTGTGTTTTTAAGAAAATCAGGGGCTGCTGCTACTGCTTAAATGTTGTTGATGTGAATCATCAAGTTTGAATGTCAGCATGGTACATGAAAACAACCAAAGCTTTACTTTAATAGATCACATAATCTAAATATTAGCAAACACAGGGGAAACCACTCCAATCTAACAGACTGTCGAGTTATATGAAGTCGCCTGAACATTTCACTGTGGAGCAGTTTTGACATTTTGACATAAGATTTCTCACCTGCCCCTTCCTGTAGGACCTGGAGCAGTATGCCACCAGCTACAGTGGATTAATGCGCATCGAGAGGCTGCAGTTTATCGCAGAACATTGCCCTCAGCTCCGAGTGGAAGCCCTGAAGATGGCCCTCACCTTCGTCCAGAGGACCTTTAACGTCGACACTTACGAAGAGATCCACCGCAAGCTCACAGAAGCCACACGGTATTACGGTTAATAACATCATGACATAAGAACACTGCTTTTGGTGAGAGACTACTATAGGATAAAACATTCGCTCTTACTACACCAATGGGCAGCATATCCTTGCATTTAATTATGCGTCTGATGTGTCACAATGCAAACTACATCAAATGGTTTGTTGCACCAATAGAAAGGACATTTTGAATTTGAAATAGTTAATTACACTTCAAAAATTAACCACGTTCTGTAAGCTTGGGCCACAGTGTATGTACACCACTACACCACAATCTGATGCTAAATATATGCTTTTTTTATTTACTTCACTCAACATCTAATGTAAATTGTATTATGTGTATTGTTTCTGTAGAGAAGTGCAGGGTGTGCCAGACACAGTACCTGAAGGTGGGGTTGTTCCTCCTCCTCTGGACTCAGCCTGGGCTGAGTCCACCAGGAAAAAGGCTCTGCTTAAACTGGAGAAACTGGATACTGATCTCAAGAACTATAAGGGGAACTCCATTAAAGAGAGCATCAGGTATGGTGGCACACAGCACAGTTTATCATGGACTTTATTATCATCATCACAAGACCCATCACAGAATTGATATTTTATGAATTTTGAAGTTTGGAAAGCCATATAAACGAAATGAACTGCCACTAGATGTCACACTAGAGCACCAGCATCTCAGACCAAACAACTGGACACTATATCCCACCAGACTCCATTGACAGAACCAGTCATTTTTACTTAACCAGCAATAGTAAAACACATTTAAAACTGGACATCTTTGTAAGTCTTTACCACCTCTTTATCTTCCACTCACCTTCCTCCCGTTCTGCCCTCCCTCCCCAGGAGAGGCCATGATGACTTGGGGGACCATTATCTGGACTGTGGTGACCTCAGTAATGCCCTCAAGTGCTACTCCCGAGCCAGAGACTACTGCACCAGTGCCAAGCACGTCATCAACATGTGTCTGAATGTCATCAAGGTACAGCAATGTTCTGCTGCTGCAGTCACCATTGTAACAACTAGTGGATGGAGTTATGAATACTGATTTAATATCAATACACTTGTCTGTACTGTCTGTATGAGTTTTTATGGATCTAATAAGTCGAGTATTAAGCACTTGAAGGGATAATTTCCTGGAAATAATTTTTTATCTTGTGAAAATTTGATTTGTATTTTGCCTCCTCACTTACATCCTCGAATGTATCAAAAAAGTACTTAACAGTTACTTCTGGGCTGTGGCGATAATGTTGTGGTGAGAGGAAAACTGTAGTCAATTTGCTGTAGACATGTCTAGTGTCCTACATAAAGTGCTGACCACCTACCTGTAATTAACCTGAGACGCTTCATCATTAAACAAGGAGTCAATACTAGGCTTACTGGTAAATTATATGACCGTTTGGAAGCAAATGCTTTCCTGTGTTATTAATAAAAACTCATGAAAAATGTTGTGAAAAGGTCCTGGAAAGTGATTTCTTAAAATAAGTGGGAACCCTGTCTGGTTTATGAAGGTATCCTCTTTCCTCCACTGTAAACGGCATTTCATCGTTGCTGTCATAATCACTAATTTTTAGTTTTTTGTATTTGTTTTCTTTCATAAACCACTGTAACTCGGGTTGAAACAGTTGATATGTTCTGTAATGCACTGTGCACTGCACAGTTGGGCTTAGGCGTAGGAATACAGCAGTTATAGGTTGAGAAAAAACAAAAACGAGATATACATTTTACAAAACAGTTGTTTTTACGCTGTGTGACCCAGGAAATCAGTGTGAGGTCAGGAAGTAAATCTTATCCTCTGTGCCCACAGGTTAGTGTTTACCTCCAGAACTGGTCCCATGTATTGAGCTACGTCAACAAAGCCGAATCCACGCCAGAGATAGCAGAGGTGAGTGTGCTTTGTTAGCATTAACAATCGGGCTTTTCACAGTGAGGCAGAAAACTATTCATGCAGCCAAGCCTGCCTTTGTTTCTCAAAGCTTGTTGTTGAGATGACCTTCAGCTGACGCCATTTCTTTTTCTTTCTGTTCAGCAAAGAGGAGAGCGTGATAGCCAAAATCAAGCAGTCCTCACCAAATTAAAGTGTGCTGCAGGTAAGACGGAGTTATGCTCTGTGATAAATAGTCCTGGGGTCTCATTTATAACCGTTGCGTACGCACAAAACGGGCTGAAAGTGGCGTACGTGACTGTTCCACGCCAAGGTTGTGATCTATAAAAAACAAACTTGACGGAGAATGTGCGCGAGCCCTAAGCAAACTCTGACCCAATGCGTACGCATGGTTTGGAGGGGGAAAAAAAAGAAATTGGTGACACGACGTGGTGGTGAACTGAAGTCAAGACTGAAGAAATGTAGATTGAGAAGAACGATTATGATTTTATCATCGCCTTCATAAGTTTGTAATTTCAACCCGTATCATGTTAATCTATTAATCGAAATGATTTAAGTAACTGCTTAATTCTCAGTTATTACATCCAGAAACAATCTCTCCTTTATAATCGTCAGTGCACTCCCATCAGAATCAGAGTGAATCGGCCGTGGAATAACCAGAAGTATCCGGCGTCTCGCTAAAGTACTAACCATAGATTTGCGGCTGTAACAGCCATGATTTAGCTCTTCTGCAATGCATTTTTCCTGGTCCATCTTCCATTCAATGATGAAATCACATCCCAGCTTCCAGAAGTAGCAGAACTTATGCTGGGGGCTGCATAAGTACCAATGTTCGCCTACTATACGTGCCCCTGATTGGTCCGAAAAAAATAACAAAAGCACGTGAATGGTCACAGGTAGCCAGTATGGAAATTACGTTGTATCCGCCAGACTCCGCCCCAACGATAGCGCCAGCCGTTTCCCTGAAACTAATACCGATTTCCAAACACAAAATGTATACTTTTAAGCATACCAATACTGTTATCTGAAAACATTGGAGGCTTCTCATGATCTCAACTTGCACATTCTGTAAAAAAAAAAACAACCCTAATTTGAAAAAAACGATATTTACTTTGTTTATGTGAATGTCCCCCAGGCCGATTGCTGCTGTTTTGCCGTGCAAGCGTCACATATATATTATAAAAAAGCAATATAAAAATATCAAATAAAAAATGTATACAAAATTTAAATAACTGATAATTGTTGCAAGTAAAAAAAAAATATAGTTAGGTGATTTTTAGCTTTTTGTACAGTGCATGCATGTGGCAGAAAGATTTCCTTATACTGTACTCAGAGGAGAGAGAATCAATTCAATTTTAAACACTCCAAATACAAAGATAAAACATTGGACTATATATGAAAATAATATGTATCTGACAGCAAACCATGTAACAGTGCATCATCACTCATGTTTTACCTCTCCAAGGTCTTCCCACTCCGCGAGAAGCACCCAGGTGAACTGACACCGGCAACACCAGACAGGATACACGAACATTGTGAGGAGCTCCTGAATGCTAGACTCTGCATGACAGGCAGCCGCATACTACGAGAAGGCCTCCCCCAAATCGGTTCATGCTAACACCAACCCCAACTACCCCGCTTCAGTTCCTGCTGAACACAGAAACGACACACACATAAAGACTTTAAATGTTCCAATCAATCCTCTGTTCCCCATTTTATGATTGTCTGGGGGGGGGGGGGGTGGGGAAATCCTTTGTTAGTTTGTGTGTCAGTGTGGAATTTTGGATGAAAAGAAAATGTGCTTGATGAAAGCTCGGCACTTAAAGCTTACACTTACTGGTAGGAAATCACCTTTCACTGCTTACCACGATGGTCATGCCTAATTAACCGAAAGAAAGTTAAAAATAAAAATACCTAAAAGCCACAACACAAACCACTCTTGTTTTTAGCATTACTCGGTGTCAGTGGAATATCCAACCAACAGCTTAGAGTTGCCAAGCGTGTCCAACTGCGTATGTATGCTACCATGTCTGAAGTTTAATTTTATTCTCTGCTTGAACATGGTACATAAAATTCTCAAAACCAATCTCCTACTTCTACCTTCATTAAAACCTCCAGAACTCCTGAAACATGCAATGTTGATTTCTAAAGTTTTGCTGCTGGACACAAAAGATCCTTCCTAATTCACTGTAAAGC